CATCAATTTCCGCCTCGACAATCCCCTTCTCTATAACTGGACCAAGTAAAACAAACTCAGTTAAACGTCTCAGTCTAATATTCTGAATTGCAGATGTCATATACCCGAACCAAGCTTTGTGGACGAAGAACATAGCGTTAAATGGAAAGATGCCAAAGAAGAACAAAGGCGAAAAGTTAAGGACCAGAGGAAAGCGAAAAGAGAGTCCAGAAGAGTTGTTTACTAATTTCATAAGTTAAATATTGAAAAAAAGATAAATAAACTACGCTGTTTTTGACGCGACCGCTCAGTATGTCTGGATAAATATGAAATGAACCCTTGCTATCTGTTTCACGTTTTTCCACGTAATGCTCTCATCTTTTGCCAAGAGTGCGATAATGTGCGACCCCTCAATGTGCTGGCGAATAGGTTATCTATTTTCCAGAACATGAATTAGCAAGAACAAATTAGAATATAATTTTCATTTTCATGCGTTGAACGAAAATGGAACAGGAGATAGATATTTTGCTCTTTTTGTCTTTACAACAGTTGAGAGTATTTGAAAGTGCACTCTAAATTTTAGAGACAAAGGCTTGAAAAAGATACCTGTTTCGAAAAACTAAAACACCTGTTCCCACCGGGGGACAGCTAAAAGTCAAACAAAAGGAAAAAAACAGATCTGAGCAAAAAGGAATGAAAGATTGAGTTAGTTCGAATCTAGAAATGGTGCTATTGCGTGATATACTTTCCTTGGGGGGTCCCTTGAATTGACGAGGTGATTAGAAAGGCTGAAAAAAATACAATTTATCCGCTATACGGTTAACTCAATCCTACCGATAAAGGGGAAGATAGCTGTTACAATGAACATCCATGTATAACCAATATATGGTAAGTAATACTGAGATACTAGAGCCAGCAGAATTCCACTCAACGTCTGAAGGATTCATCTTATTAAAACGTAAAAAGTGAGTTTAGCTAACCGTAGAAAAAGTCAGAAACCCATAGTTTGATGCTTTATATTTGGAACCAAAGCACTTTACCGTTGCTGTTATAAACAGAGCATGTGTTGCTCCCATACAGGCAAAGATTCCGCAAAGCTGAAGACGAACGATACGAAACAGTGTTATCAGCGGACACCTACCCAGATCAGATAGAAAAATTTTCCAAGTGAATGGACTAACGGCATAGTGAAAAGAAAAATTGATGCTATGCAAGTAGCAGTGGAAACAGCAAACTTGAAATGCAAAATAAGTAAAATTCAAGTATTAGATCATACCTGGAAATTAGTTTTATCTGTAATGTAACCCCAAGATACTCTAGCCACTGCATTAACAACAGAACCTATGCTAAAAGCATTGGCTAGGAAAAAGTCATCTTCGATGAACGTTTCACCATAAGTCTAGAAAATTCAAATTCAATATCGAAAAGCACCTTATAACACCTTATATAGGTTATAAAACATATTTGCATAGAAAGAACAACAGAATAAAGCTCCAAACAGAAAAAGAAATGTTGGTGATCTAAGCATCTCTGCCGGCGACATACTTCGATCATTTCTCCTGGAACAACATATGTTAGCATTTCTCCGCGAGAGATCGTTAAGTGAAAGGTTAGACAGTATAACAATCATTAAATTATTTCACTTACAGTCCTAAAATATCGTCTTGAAACACTTCATCTTCTGAATCAGAACCCGAGCAAGATTCTCTGGATTGTGAACGCGAACGCCTTCGTTGGCCGTTCTCATTGCGTTCGATCTGAAAAGATTTGATAAGAGTGAATTAATATGCAGTACGAGAACGACGCCACAAAGCATAAGTTACTAGACATGTTAAGCCCATTAAAAGGACCAAAAACCATAACCGAAATTATATAGTGAAAACTAAATAGTGCATGCTCCACTAAACTATACAACAAATTTTACCATAATTTCGTCTGCCATTCGAACAGGCTTATATCTAACCCCAGTATATCGAGTTTCTTTCACACCGGTACGGAATGAAGTTAGAATATCCGAAACTGATCCCAACCCAGAAGCAAGAATCTGATGATTTTTATAATGAGCGAGAAGAACAAAAGGAACGCATTGAAGAACTTGCAAGCTTATAAAGTCAAGAAGATAAACTCACTTTCTCAGGCGGATCACAAATAACAATAAGAGCGAAAGCCTGGAGAGAACCATAAACCCAAGCTAAGTGAATAAAAACATCCGGAACACGTTCAAGAAGCTCTTTCTGTAGAAAATAACTGAAACAAACACATTCGAACTTTCTTTCTTGCACTGACTTACCCGTCCTTCGTAGAAGGCAAATTTGTAGGGTTTACAAAAGTAGTTTGTATAGGAGCAAAAATTGATGAGGATAAGCCGAAACCAGCGGCAACGATACCACTAACAACTCCTACTTTATCAGGAGCCCACTGGTAGAAACAGATTTCCAAGAAAAAAAGATCATTTAAACTTACATTAATAACTGTTGCCACAGCTGTTACATAAGCAATTCCCATGCCCAGTCCATACATTAATCCATAGCACATAAAAAATAAAACAAAAGAATGCTTGATGGCCAAAGAAGAAAGAGCCACACTTGATCTAAATTTTTACAACTAACTGAAATTTCGATGTGAAGAACTAACGTAGCTAACGAACATCCTATAAAGGTTGTTAACCTGGGGCCTAGACGCAGATTTATAGCACCCCCAATAACCATTGCGAACGGAAAACAACCTAACAAAAATAATTCAGATAGAGTTCTCGAGGTGAAGCTAACCTTGAAAAGTTGGGATCCACATAAGATGTTCAACACGAACCGAAGGGTCCGTATAGTTCCTCATGTAAGAAGCCATATATGGCAACATATTACCTATTATTTTAAACTTATTATGGAAGAAAATTTTAAACAAACCGAATGTATGATATGTTCCAATCGTCAAGTGTATTAGAACAGCTCCGATTAGAACTACAGAAACACGTACGAGTGCTGATTGTCTATATAAGATTAGTGAGATAAAGTCCTGCATAGCTGTTTGAGATTCGTTGAAGTAACTGAAACAACAAAATTAAAGTATACAAATCGGATCAGGTTTTTATGAAGATAGTGCAGCCCACCTTCACATAACACGATGGGATAATGAGACTTAGCGACCCAGAAAATGATAATTTTTGTTTCGACTGGAATTTGCTGAAGACTAGAAGGAGTTTAGTCAATTGGCCCATTCCTTCGAACGAACATCATCTATAATAAAGCGAAATTGTAACAAAAAACATGTATTACGTTGAAGATGTGAACGTTGAGGAAACTGAAGTGAAACGAGAGGAAGTCTTATGATAAAGGGACGTTAACTGATATTTCATAAAATGAAGAGTCAGCTGCTGCAAATATTTGAAAACAAAAACAAAGAAAGATCATAATGCGAGTAACTGACTGTGATTTCATAAACTATTCACTCAAATAGCTGTGAAACGAAAGTTAAGTGATTTAATTTCAGTAATTAAACAGTTATGATGTTATGAGCAGATTATTATTAGAAGAAAACACTAGTTAACAGATAATTTTGAAAGGGTTTGTAATGAGACTCTTTCCTGGTGAAGGCGGCCAATCAATAATTTTGTCTGCGAATGGAGACTAAACAGACTTTAGCTCTCGCAAATACATTACCCTTTCCCGCATTATGAAAGATTGTCCGAACACCCCCATTCCTTCTTCCACCCTCTATCAGTCGTTCATTCTGTTTTTCTACCTTAGAGTTCCATTAGGACTTCGATGAAGTTTTTCTTCGAATTGCCTCGGAATCATCTGGTTCTTGGATTTGCTCATTTAGCCTGCGGCACCCATTTATAAGCTCATTTGAAATGCTTCAAAGCATTTCATGAACGTATCTGCTATTGACCAAAGAGAAGGGCTGTTGAAACCCTTTCAATTTATAATTTCCCGAATTTTTCGAATCACTTCAATTGAATTAGTTTCTTAAAGTTACCATACACCCGCATACAACCGGTCCACACGCTCGAAGTCCAAAAAATGAAAATCACGAAAGTGGCGTTACGTGAATTGTAAAAACAAAACAGCCAATATCAGCAGTCGTACTTAGAGAAACATTTGTTAAAATCGATGAATTAAAAACAGAATACTACTGTTCGATAAAATCAATTGGAAAAGCTATTAAAACCTCTTTATTGAGTTTATGAAAAAAAGAATTTTATAGTTGCATAGAATAAACGGCTTTCTTAGCTAAACAAAGAAAAGTTGATCAGCTTCAACTATGACCAGGGAAATTGACTTATGTTAGTCTAAGTTTCTAATTAAGGTCTTCTCACCAGGAAAACTCAGCTTTACATAAAGCATATAACTTTACTAAGGTTCTAAAACAATAGCAATTTAACAATGACTTCTCGTTATATAATATTTTGTACAAGCACATCTAGTGCCATATGACTATAAATATCTCTACTTTTAAAAAACTTTACATAACTATGGTGGGCGAAAAATAACCATGCGAATCTGATTTGATTTCAATAAGAATTAGTATAACAACATAGAATTAAAACATAGAAGTTAGTGGAAAATTAAAATGAAAACTTCTCTTTTTTAAAGTTGGAAATATAGAAATATGAAAAGATTAATTAGGAAAAAAAGACAGAAAGAAGACAAGAAGAAGATCTACCTAAGGAATTCCGTTAAGTGAAAATTGATTGCAATCCCAGTTGTCTGGCTTTGCTCCCTGCCAATATGAATTCAAAGCAGGTTGATTCATATCTAAAGACGATGAATATTCAATTATTCTGTGCTCAATAAATACCTCGCTGATTCAAATTCAGGGATGGATCATATGACTCAAAGCGATTGGCTTCAAATTGCTCTATACAACGACTTTGCTGATGTACAGCGGCCATCTGAAAGAGAACGATTAAAATAAATAGAATTAGGAAAGCTATTTACCGCAGGCTTGGGACCAGCAGGGATATAAGGTTGTTCTGGCTTCCACTCAGGTAAATCTTGTAAAAACTCTTGTAAATCATCAGGTAGAAAGTCCATAGGATAATTCATCTCGTCTTCATATGGCACATAAGGAGCTAAACCCGTCAAATCTTCCCATTGATGATGATCTGTAAATGGATACTAGTGTAACAGATAGAACGTATGTGAAACTAACCTGATGCTTGTGTTTCTGGTTGATGGAAAGAAGGATTGATCACTGACTGAGGCACAGTTGATGTGGAAGTATGGGAAGCAGGCATAAAGGGGTACACTCCGGAGGACCGTTGTGGGACATCGGACGACATAACGTTACTGTCTAGAGTTTACTATGTTATCTTTTTCTTAGGGTCATCAAAACATACCGGATAAACAAATGGCGGGAATGCAGGATAAAGGATTGGAGGTTGGGTCACGCTCCAGAGATTGGTTCCCGCAGTGGGAAACAATGGCTGGTGATGCTGGGCCGTAAGCATGGGTATTTTCAGAGTACATAACATTGTTCGAGCCTGAAGAAGCGAATGAGAGTATTGTTCGAAAAAGGATATTTACATCTTCCAGTGTTTCCGGGATAGGATACATCTGTTTCCGGTTCCGTGGGCGAACTGGGTCTAGCCATGACTTGGGCCGAGGCCAAAGTGGGGTCGCCAATTGAACTTTGTCCCTAAATACGCATATCTCAAACTTGAAATTGAGAAGCTAAACTAACGTGGCAGGTTTCGAGTGTTCTATTAGGCTCGTCCGCTGGAACCCAACCGTAAATTTTGTCGTAGTTTCTCGTACAATCTGTAGAAAATCATATTGCTGATATGAAACTAAAACTAAGCCAATGATGGGGAAAAGTTTAGGACACATGACACGGCACTATTTCATATTTTGAGAACTCTTTTCGAAGCTCAGACAATTACAACGAGGGGCAAATTTGGACACAATCCACTCTATTTCTCAAGGAGCAGATTGGAAAGTATGGAAGATAACAAGACCTCCTCATCTGCGTCACTGCCGATAGAATCTGTCTCCATAACTCTTAAAAGGAGTTCTTTGGAATCTATTCTGCTCTCTATACTTTCCGTTTCTTCCCAAAAATCTACTGTAAAGAATATGCGTTTGAAGGACTTTCAAAAAAAAACGAAAAATCACGTGTCATCATACAAGGTAGGTTCAACTCTAGGGAGAATCTGTGATAACTAACCTCCTGATGAGGAGACTAATGGGCTCAATGACCTGTCATATTCACCACTGAATACAGGAACGAAATCAGCATCAATAACTTCAGGCTGCCGTCCAGCATATTCTGAAAAAATCATAACTTTTTATGAAGAGAATGAAACCAGCTGCAACAGACCTCCGCAATCCGTAATCTCTTTCTTAAGATTGAGCATTCGCATGTCACTTGAAACAGTTGGATTGATGAAAGATTCGCTTTCAGGTTGCACTCTAGAAATCAGGGCTTGAGAGAAAATTCTCAGGATATTTTGATACCCCACAAGATAATGAAGACATATAACATATTGACCAGCTTGTCCTTTCGATGTATGCTTAATAGTGTTAGCTTCCGTGATTATCCATGCCACAGACTTATTGGCAGCTAACAATCGATAGTATGGAGTCCTAACGTGCCCTTTTGCAAACATTTCTTTCATCGCCTGAGACAATTCCTAATTGAAGAACAAGTGGTAAATATACCTGGCTGATGACTTCACAGTCACATGGATGAACAAGATCGTAAAAACTAGTTCCAATTAGAGTCTTCAATTCATTTTTCAGAAGATAGTTCAAACGATCACTTATGCTTGTAATTCGCATATCACAGCTATGTCTTGTTAGGAAAGTACCCGATAATGCTTCCGAACCCTGAAAACAACAAAGGTCAAAAACAGGTGTTTACAACGGTGAACAAACCTTAGCAATAGCAGTGGCAGCAGCGTTTGCAGACCCAATACCAGCTGGCAGAGAAATTCCGTGAAGAAGGACTACACATCCGTCAGTGCAACAGCGGCCTCGTAGCATAAAACTTATTGGCTGCAAAGCATGCTAGTTATCAGGAAAAATAGTTGAGAATAGGAATTACCTTATAAATTGCACTTTTCATATTCAACGTTCTTCCCCGAGGACTGATAATAGATTTCATTCGAAGCACGACAGATCTACAAGACTTAAAAATCTAAGAAAACACGATTTTTAAAAACGCACCTAACTTCTGTCTCCTTTATTACACCCTTTAAATAAAGGGACACCAGCTCTTTAAATTCTTGATAATCGTCTGGATGAGCAAATTCATCAAACGATATTCCACTCATTTCAGTCTGAAAGTTCAATTTAACAACAAATCGAATTACGTGCCACTATCACACGCTCTAATCAAAGAAAAATTTTCATAATTTTTTTTCGAATTTTCAGAAGGAAAGAAAATCTTATAATTTATTCTGTGACCATATTTAATTGAATTGAGTTCGATTGAAATAGAGAAAGGGTTAGCAAATGCAATTTTCTTGGTTCCGGGTACTTATCACTTCCGTGAAGTTTAGACAGAGGATTTTGGTTATGTTTTTCAATTATGAGTGTTTGATCTTACCTGAGTATGTCCCAAATAATTCGCTACACTTTCTGTCGTGTAAAGAATTGAGCCATCATTTTTCAGAACAAGAACAAATCCATCAAGACATTCTGTCAAAGACTCTTCCTGCCATAGATTAGAATACTCGTCTGGCTCATAATTAACATTGTTTCCAATAACTACCAGAAGATGATGAATGAAGCATAAGAGTTGTTCCACTTACCACTTGAGATATGCTGACGGAATCGACAAAAAGCTGATGAAACTCGAAGCAAAGCAATCCTATCCAAATGAGTTGCATTAGGCTCTTCCACGACAGGTACAACATCTTTTAAGTCATTGAACACGTGAGACTCTTTGCCCCTACGATCACGAGCAGCGCACCGGGAAGTTTCTCTCCTCTTATCCATATTTCTAAAAAAAATTATTCATAATATTGAGATCTGACGTTTCGTTTTCGTGAAATTTGGATTTTGATTGCGTTACTTGTTAAAATGATTTTGAATGCAGGGAGAATTATTTGTGTGAAATCAAACAATCATTTGATTAGATAATCCTAGAGGATTTAGAGCTATTTATAATCATTTGACCATTCAGAAATATTTTCACGGATTTCGTGAAAACAATGTTGTGATAATTCCTACATGAAGTTATGCGGAACTGAATATCTTACAACAAATTTTTCTTAGAAGAGACAACTTTAAATTTCCTTCCAAGAAAAACCAAAGAGGAATCAAGCAAACATTGCCTTGTGATACTCTCTATGGGGTTAGTTTTCTCCCCTGATAGGTGATATCGATATCGCGAAGGAATCATATTCATTGGAACAATCAAACGACAACATACCGAGATTATACACAAAAATGATAAAAAAAAAAGAAATTCAGCTTACAAAAGTATCAAAAACGAAGCTTACCTCTTCTTGGTTTCACTCCCTTCCATGTCAGCTGCAGGCTACCGGGGGAAAGAAAGAACAAAACAGTTTTTTTTCTGGAAAACACAGTCAATTCACAATGATATGAGTTGGTAAGTTCAAAAGTACTACAAACAAGGAAGGCTTGAACAAAGCAGCAAAACGATCAAATGAAATGATTGACGCTACTAATCAATAGTCTAATAATGGCACAAGACGGAATAAAAGATGACCAACTTTCTGTTAGTTGGAGAAGACAAGGCTGACTGATAGGACGGGCCGGGAAGTGGAAGAAACAGACGTCAGGGAGAAGAGAGAAAAAGAGAAGAAAAGAAATGCGACATCGCTTGCGGCAGATTCAATCAACGCATGCAGAGAGCGATCAAAAACTCTGAAAGATTCTAAAATGGAAAAGCCCTAGAGGACTTCAAGTAATAAAGTAATCCATAACATATGGGAACACATTTAGACTCGAGAGGAGAAGTGAGGATCAAAAAAAGTGACAAGAGCAAACGATAAACTTGAGCCTAAATGTGAGAAAAGAAGATTTGAGAAACAGAATGATCGCATTGAATGGACATAGGAGGGAAGGAACAATAAAAGGTAAAAGAAATATAGATCATTAAGTTATCAAGCAAACTATTTTAATCAGAATTGTCGGCGGCTGATATTAGGATGAAGAAAAAATGAAAATGGAAAATAAAGATGAACAGTAAGATAAAACATAGAAATCGATTGCAATCGTAGAACGTGATCGATCATTCAATAAAGGAAGAGAAAGTCTTTTAATGAACTAAGGAAATCTGAAAATGTGTACATTCCCCTTTTGGAAGGGAAGACCAGATTTAGACAAAATGAACGGGCGATTGATGAAACATGTGATCAGGTTTCGTTAGATACAGAAGAGAATCTCCCTTCCACACAAGGACCAGCAAAATACTGAACAGAATTAATTACTAGAAGTAATATATATACACATAATTAAGTGTGCAGTGCTTGAGCGTCAAGAGGCAGTCCGTTTAGAACACAGAGTAAACGCAAGTATGTGAGCGGCTGACGTATACTCAGTGTTATACTCAGCTTGACCATATGCATAGTATAATAGTTTATATCGTTAAGCTAATATTCAACAATAATATTATCTCTTGCAGAATGTCCACGAAATTGAGCACCATTCCAAATTTATTTCAAAAATGTAAGTGTAAAGGAATGGCCGTTCTCAATGTTTCACTCAGTCCAAAAATGTGAAAGCATTTTTTCTAAAATATCTGTTTGGAAGGGAGATATTACTTTGTTAGAAGTTGATGGAATTGTGAATGCTGCTAACAATCAGTTGAGAGGAGGTTAGTTTTTCAATTCGCTACGAAATTGATAAAAAAAGTGGAACGGGCGCTTGCTGTGAATTCCGAATGCAACCGCTTTGTGAGTTTGAAGCTTAAAAATGATAAATGAAAATCGCTATTTCTAGAAATATTTACACACATTACAATTATTTTTACTCTCCTAAGTAAAGATTGATTAATTGAAAAGTGCCGGAAGAGGTTGCATTTCCTTTTTAGGAGGAGGAGTAGATGGGGCGATTCATAGAGCCGCTGGAGTTGATGAGCTGCAAAAAGAGTGTCGTAAAATCGGACGTTGTGAGACTGGGGAAGCTGTTATAACATCAGCTTGTGGAATAAAACATTTGAAAAGTTGTTTTGATTCTTTCTAAGTTTAAGTTCTCAGCTTTCAGAAATAATTCATACTGTTGGACCGCAAGTTGGTAAAGCGCTTCCGACTGAAACTGAAACTAAACTACTCCTCTCGTGTTATGAAAATTCTCTTGAGCTGGCGATCGAGCATAATTTGAAAACAATAGTAATCATAGAGTTGAATAAAAAATAAGATTTTGATAAATTAAGGCCTTCTGTTGCATATCAACTGGCGTTTACGGTTATCCAAGTGTCTTGGCTGCTGAAAATGTCTCGAGCTTCATTTTTAATTGGTTGCAAACTCATCCCAAACGAGATATGGTGAGCTCGTTTGAAGTTTTACTGAAATAGCAAACTTGTAGATCGATCGAATTGTTTTCTGTTGTTTTGGAGACTCGGATACCAACACCTACCTCAAATGTTTCAACGATAAATTCTTACTTGACGTTTTATAAACTATTGCCTACGTTAAATTTTGAAAAAAAACTCCTTGTTTTCACTAAAAACCTTTCTTTGGTTCTGATATTTGAAAGAATTTCCAGTTTTTCACTGTTTTTCTTCACGCTTCAGATGTCCTTAAAAGACGAGCCGCCGTATAAAACTGATCAAATAATAAACTTCAACGTTGGGGGTCAAAAGTTTGCGACAAGCGTTAACACACTAACGTGGATACCTGATACTTTCTTTACGAGGTATAAAAGCTTGAATAATATCTAAATGAACTCATTATTTAGTCTAATAAGCGGACGTATCCCATCAGTCAGAGATGAATCCGGTGCTATCTTTATCGATAGAGATCCTGATCTTTTTAGAGTCATCTTAAATTATTTACGGACGAAACAAATTGATTTAAGGTATAAATGTTTAGATGAATTTTACAATCATGACATACTTATACAGTTCTTACCCTGTACATATTCTGAGGCTTGAAGCCCAATTTTTCAACTTATGCCCTCTTGTGAGGCGCTTGCTACTCTGCGATGAACTTGAGGTTTCTTCTTGTGGCTCCCTACTATTTCATGGATCAATACCATTACCCGGTCTACTATTCTTAGATTATAAAGTACCCATTTTCCTTTTTTTCTAACATAATTTTTTTTTTAGTTGGAGGAGGGGTTACCTCAGGGTGAAAGCCGTGGGGGTTTGCGAGATAACCTTAATGATTTTGAGCCAAGTGAAACTAGTCAAGATAGCTGCAATTCAAAGATTACCGATAGTTCTTTGAGGAAAGGAAGTATGGACCAAAACCGATATGTTAGTTGTTTTCTCTTTTGTTGAGTGCTCATACTATCGTTTAGGCAAGAGCTGAGATTGCACAGTTGAGGCAACAGATGAGATCAAGCCTATACGACCCTATCAGTGTTAGGATTGTTAGAGCTCATTACAATACTGTGGCTGTTGCTCATTCTTATTATGCTTGTGTGTATAGAATGAATAAGAAATATACTGGATGGAAGGCTATTTTCACCTCCTCACATATGGAGTATGTCATCAATCATCTTGCTTGGAATACGAAGTTCGGAGCTCAAGTAACGTACTTTCAGATTATTCTAATGCTAATCTGTTTTTTTATAGAGCAATGAAAAGATGCTAGCTATTGCATTGGCTAATGGAACCATTCACTTATGGTCTATTAGCGAAGAGGAAAACAGAAAAAAAGGTTTGTAACTTTGTAGTGTTTTCCTTTTCAAGTTTGCTCTGCAGGAAGCTTCACTTTGGGTGTTCAAGTTGATAAGCTTTTCTTCATCGGCAGCCAAATGGTGGCTCTCTCAAGGTCTGGTAAAGTCGGTATTTGGCAATCGGTAACTCAAAACTGGCAAGTTCAAGGTTCAATCCCTCTTTTTTTTCAAACACATCAAATTCTTCTCTAGAATTGGTTCCTGTGACATGTTATGATACGGCGGGTTCTTCATTATTATTAGGTTGTTCTAATGGGTCTATGTATCATATAGACATGCAGAAGTTTCCTTTGAGGTTTTTCGTTAGTTCTAATTTCGCTCATATCTTTTTTTTCCAGAATGAAAGACAATGATCTTTTGATTACTGAACTATATAAAGATCCTAATCGAGAATCCATAACGGCGCTAAGTGTATATTTAACACCAAAAACAAGTTTTTAAGACTTTTTTATGTCTTCTGATTCATTGAAGCTTCAGATAGTTGTGGTAATTGGATAGAAATTGCCTATGGAACTTCTTCTGGAGTCGTTCGGATTATTGTTCAACACCCAGAGACAGTCGGTCACGGTCCTCAGTTATTTCAAAGCTACACTGTACACAATTCTCCAATTACACATGTATCTCTGAGTACGAGTCATCTCATTAGTGGTAAGTGTTTTCAGTTTTCAACGATTTATATTGTTTTGTTTTGAAGTTTGTTCTGATTATAACCATGTACGTACGTGGGCTGTTACTCGTTTTAGAGGAATGATCAGTACTCAGGTAGGACGCAATCTCCGAATGATGCATCTATAACCATTTTTTTAAGCCGGGGAACACAAACTTAGCTTCTTTCAAAGTTTTAACTTTGGATTCAACAGATGAATTTGCCGAGAAGGATTATACGGATGTTGGTGAGGCTATATCAAAGAGAACAATAATACTTTTTGCTATGCAGGGCCTTATGGTGACCAAGAAGGTGAACAAGTATTTGTTCAAAGAGTTGTCCCGGATTCCAATCAAGTGTTCATCCGATTAGCTTCTACTGGAGAAAGGTTTGTTTCAGAGAGTCAAACAGAACTATTTCTCTTTTAGAATTTGTACCATAAAAACGGTTGATGGGTCAGCCATAACTTCTTTCGTAGTTCATGAATGCGAGAGTTCGTCTCGATTGGGCAGCCGTCCACGAAAGTTTTTATTCTGCGGAACTAACACAGGAGCAGTGCAGGTAAGCTCAATTTGAATAGCCAGCTTATGAGAACTTTAAACAGATTTGGGATTTGTCGACCGCCATTGATCAGATCAATAAGCAAGCCTCTGCATTGCCATTAAATTGTCCACCACAATCACAAACTCAGCTTTATTCTGAACGAGAACAACCCATGAAGGCAAATTTATCTTCTAGTCGTTATTTTTCTGCTTCCCAACAAGTTAGCAGTATAAAAGATGACTAAACGCATGCTTTAATTTCAGATTGCCCATGGTCCTACACCTCAAGAGTTACTTCAATTGATCGATGAATGCGATATAAGTTGTAACAGTATTAATAATACGCCAAGTAGTTCTCACATGAATCTAACGGGTTTCGACTTTTCAAAATAGTCGAAAATTTGTATATTTTTTTTCAAAAAAACTAATTTATTATTAGAACAATAGCCTTCGAGAGGTTTAGTGTTCCATATATTGTGATATATTTTGCATTTTGTTTACTTTTGTACATTCATCTAAATACATTTTTTTAATTTTGCTATTCTATATTACGCTCTGGTGTTTTCCAGAAAATCTACAATCATGCAAGTTTCACATAAGTAATCTCTCAGCAACATCGTAGTTCGTAATCGTATTCTAAATCAAACGAATAATATATATATGAGCAAAAGTTAGTATTAGCTGAAGAAAAAACGTTCCGATTCGTTGAAAGTACTTGGTTGTTAGATGAGCCCAGGAGTCCCTCAAGTTTACATGAACGACCGCTAAGCGATGAAATTTGTGGTGGAATGAAATATCATATTTTCATTTTTCCATTCTGAACTCAAGTCAGATTTCAAATTGTCTATCAAGAGTCGAGGTACAGTTCATCAGCTTATACTCAGTAAAAAACCGGGGAATACGACTAACCAAAGCAATTTTTTCTTGGATACGTGATTAAGCGTGAAATTCTGTTGGTGTAAGTAACGTAACTTCTTCACTGGGCTCCCGGAATTCGTGAGACTGTTTTAGCTTCACTAATACCTCCTCTCTTGTTAGATATTTATTCGTGTCTTTCTCAACGTGTATCATTATTTTCGAATAGTTAAGCTTTATTGATTGTTATAAGGTAAGGGGGAATTCATGAATTTCATGTCTCTTTCGTTGTAAATCTGCTTTTCATTTCAGTTATACAATGTCTTCGAAACTAGCTTATGAGCCATATGAAGTTCTGGGCGTCAAGAAGGGATGTACGGATAGAGAACTGCAACAAGCTTATAAAAAAGCTTGTTTGAAGTGGCATCCAGACAAAAACTTGGATAATAAGGAAGCAGGTCTTTAATTTTGGAGTTTCGAACAATCAGAGTTACAAATTTTAGCTGAAAAAAAGTTCATTGAAGCAAAAGAAGCTTTCCGATTCCTTTCTGATCCCGAAAAAAGAGTTTGTTTTTTCCAATCTTCCTATTATTTTGAAGAAAAACTTTCAGACTGAGTATGATAGTGGAGTTGAAAGAGATGAAAAAAGAGCTGCAAAGTACAAAGAAAGAATGGATAGAACGGATGGAGCAAGAAGAAGGTGGAAGCCATTCTGCTAATTAAATCACTGCAAATTTTTTCAGGTTCATCGATGAGTTGACTAGAAAAGAACAAGCAGCTGAGAAGGAAAGAGAATTAAATCGTAACACTCAGCTTAAAGATGCACGTAAAAGAGCTTATGTAAGTTATCTTCTGTTTCGTTCTCAACCGCCCATTATTAAGGATCGTGAACGTAATGAACAAATTCGAGAACAGTTAGAAAAAGAAGCTGAACAAGAATTAAGGCGAGCACAAGAATTATTCCGAAATGCGCGAACTCCAGTACAGAAAGTAGAGAAAAAACCTGAAGATACGGCATACGGTTTGTGCTCGATGAGTTTTAACGTTTTCATACGATCTAATTTCAGCTGAACTTGCTACGCAAAGCTTTGACGATATGTTTTCTGAATTTATTGGTGATGGTCCGGCTGCTAAAACAGCTCGGATATCATAGGTATGACCTGTATTTATTTGTTTATCCGGTATTGTTTCCAAAACTGTGTCAATGATGATCTTCCTATTCTCGCTAATGTTTGTTAAATGTAATTACAAAGATTAAACTATTTCAATGAGTTCTATAGTCGTAGACGTGAGCGAGAGCTTCCTGTTCAACACGTTTCGTATGGCTTAGGGTGAGAAAGGATTCATCGGCATTTCGAGTTTTTCTTTCTTTGATCAGTTTTGAACTTTCCATTACAAAACTGAAGATTATCCTCTGTCAATGGTACCATGTCTAAGATGTACAAGGCTCCCTATCAGTTATATTTCTTGGAAAGAATGCCATTCTTTTCGAAGAAGACTTTACAGAGCTTATGTCGGAGAACATAACTATGAATTTATTGAAACGTTGTTGCTTGAACTGCTATTGTTCAGAATGAATGGATAATTAACAATATTTATTAAGTATTTTACGAGATCTGATGTATAAGAGAAGCTTCCTTGTAAAAGCGGTTGGAGGATCTTTTTTAGTCCTGGAAATACTAAAGAATGTTCGTTTCGTACAACAAAAAAATAAATTTCTCCGAGAATTTCTTTAATATAAGCCATTCCCTTTGAAGAAATTACCTAAACATCTCGTTTTCCTCGTAAGCCTTTCATGTTGTAGTAAACGCGTTTTCCCCGCATACCACGAAGTCCTTTGAACTGAGGGAACTCATAGCCAAGATCTGATCTCTTTCCCCAAGATGAGAGACCATCATATGGGCCCATGAACTGAATTTGATGATATAATATTTACTGAATGAATAAACATATAATTAACATTTCTATTTCGATTTTGCGAATGTTGTGGAGCTTTATGCAAATGTTGTGAGCGAGGTGAATATTTTATGATTCACTAATGAGTGTATCCTTAGCTCCCCGTGCAAGTTCAAGAAATTGGGCTGTTTTGGCTTGAAATCTGAGATAGGGAATTCTAGGAAATCATGCGAGGAAAATCGCATCGTTGTCGATGTGATTGTTGTAATAAATGGATGGTTTGTCTGTGTGTTTGCAGAAAAAAATGTTTTCCATAAATGTATCTCTCCTACCCAATTCAAGCATCTTTCTCTCTCTGATAGAGAAAAATTGTGTTTTGGCTTCCATTAGATACAAGAAAGAGATACAACATCACAAAAACTTGGGAAAATAGTCGGAAGTACCGAATAGATGAGAGATAAAAGGATAGAATGTTGCCTTTGATGGGAGTAAACGATGACGAGGACGGCATCTTCCGTTATGTTCAAATAGAGCAATTAGACACTTGACGGATGTCTTGTTGAGGAGTATCATGTAATTTTCATTCTTCCTCCCTGCTCTCTTATCAAATGACTATTCGCACTTCCATTCTTTACATCACAAAAGAAGGAAATGAATGTTCATATGATTCTCTCGCTTCATCAAGACTGTTCCTTGCTTGTTTGGTGGGAAAAGTTCAGATAAAGCTGTGCTTTTGGCTTCCAAAAATTACTCAACAGAAGTGTTTTTAGAGAAAACTGAGGGGAAGATAAGCTGGCATGAATTGAAAGCAAATGGGTGAAAATTAATATTTTATGTCATTGTCAAAATGACATTTTTTGAAAACTCATAAATTATGTATTCTTCAAAGACATTTATCTCATAAAAATTATTTTTTTCTTAGCCTAGGCTCCTTCTCTCTCTCTCTTTATCTGTCTTCTTTCTAATGAATTTCATTTGTAGTAGAAGGTGTCGAAGAATGAGCTTCAACTAATCGTCAATTGGCATGTGAAGTAAGAGAACTAAGTATCTATGAGATTTGAGATTAATTATGAGATCCCGTTAGATATAGTTATATCATCTTAAGTGCTCACATGAACTAAACGAGTTGCTGACACATGATGTTTTAAATTTCTTATTACTCTCAATGGATTCAAATGATTCATGTCAAATTTAATTTTTCAAAAATCTTTTTTTATTTTCTATTTCGAAGAATATTTTGGAAAAGATGACATCACAATTCTACAAAACTTATTGACGCTTCTTCAAAAAATACGCCATGATTCTCTATGAAAAGAAAGGAAGACACTGAGAGAGATAGAGAGAGTTTTCTATTCCCAAATCACTAAGTTGAGGATAATTTAGGATTGACTCCCACAAACGGAAATATTTCTCAGTTATACTTTAGATTAGCTGTTTTCATTTTAGTATCTCACCATAATTTGATTTTTGATTTGTCGTGGAGAGTCATCATATCTAAGAGATAGCTTCACCCTTTCCAAAATCAAATGAAAAAGTCTGATTATTGAGATGTTCCACTTACTAACAAGAATGAATTTCAAGTCTAATCATCATGCTTTTTCTAATTGTGCACATCCTCGCACGGAAATGGCTAATCAGAAAACTAAAGCTTTGTTCTCATAACTCATATGGTATCTTGGGGATAGAAAATATAAATTCGAAGAAAAACTAACCTCTTCATATCCCTGAGCCATAGAATTTGTAACCAAAACGGCCAATATGAGAACCAGGACCACTTGGAAAAGCTTTAGGACGTGCATACTTTCTTCTGAAGACGTTGATCACAATTAGAACGTGGAAAGCTAAGTGAAGGCTAACTCCGCCTTTTTTGGGCATGCCACATGGATCTCCTCCCACCGCAATTTCTTCTGAAATCCCCTCCTCCCTCTTACTTTCTTTTCTTCTCTAACTCACTCTCTTCATTTCCTATATCTTTCTACTCTAGGGATTAATATTGTGCTTCTCCCGTAAAAATTCACAACACCTCATCTTTTACGAGAATCATCCCACATATCTGTGAACCTTTCATCAAATGCCATCTACAATGAATCTATTTGGGCGAAACGGATCAGCGTGGCATATAACATTCAGAAAGGAATAGATTACTGAACTATGGTTTTGTCGTCCAGAATGATAACTAGTAACAATAAGCTGGATAAATAATTGATAAGACGTTTTTCCTCTGAAAAAAAACTGACACCTTCACCTTTGATTCTTCACAATCGCTCCACAATGGAGAAACTGTTTCTAGAGAAAAGCACTATTTGGTGGGAAATAAATAAAAAGTGTTATTGACTTTTCTGAATATGATCTTGTTACATTGAAAGATGAAAAAACATGAGCATGATTGAAGATCTGAAATCGTTCTCCGACACAAAAATCTGTTCGAGTTCAGTGTGCCCTTTGGGATGTTTGCGTACGCGAATATGACGAATAGGAGGATAATTGCTGATACAACCAAACTTTCATGTTGAAAACAAGTTGGAGTTTCCTTTTTTAATACAGAATCGAATAACCTTCAATCATGTGAAATCCAAGAGATATCGTAAACCTACTAATGTTGATTTCTCAGTTATTTGAAGAAATTACGTCAAAAAACATATGAATCACGTTTCCTACTCTAACTTCCCCATTTCATACAATTCCTCGTGTTTATGTCCATACACGACCGCTCTCGAATGCTTATAAATTCAAAATGAAAAGCAAATTCTATAAACTCTTCGTGAGTCTGAGATGGAGTCAGTCTTTCATTTTCTTTCTAAGATGAGATGTGAGCGGTTGTGTTGTCATTTAATAATCTCACTATCATTTCAATAATATCTTCTTCTTTCCTTATCTGTGTTTTTACCTCTACCCACTATCAATTCAGTAGTTTAAAGTTTCAAGTAAGAGATACAATCCTTATCTTTCTTCTAACTGTTCCAATATAATGTTCTGCTTAATGAGCTTTCCCTCCACTCTAACATCATCCATTTATCTCATTGTTTATTATACACATTTCGCAATTGATTTCTTGAAGCGTAAAACATTCTTCATATGAAATCAATTTGTTTAAAGAACAGGCAGTTGTGTTTATAACTGAAAACAATCTCATTGAAGTTCTTATGTTACAACCATCAGCTTCTCTAAACAGTTTCGCTCATTTCTAAGCTCATTCATGCCTGTTCGCTCGCTTGAGTCACTCGACCATTTCAATCAGTCATATAACTTCAATTTTACAGATGAAGTTCCTGTGTTTGGTTGCCCTCGTTGGGGTAGCTGCTGCCATGAGAGATCAGTCCATTGCTGTCAAAGTACAAGCGGATTCATCAATACGAAATAATTTTTTCCGTTTAGGGCAAGCTTTTATGTGGAAACAAGGAAGCAGCTAATGTTCGCATCAAGTTATGGGAAGAGGATTCAGGACCAGATCCAGACGACTTGCTCGACCAGGGATACACAGATGCTAAAGGAGAATTCATGCTTTCTGGAGGAACTGCTGAATTAACTCCAATCGACCCTGTTTTCAAAGTATATCACGATTGCGACGATATTATGGTACTTAATTCATACTATAATGATGTGAAAAGAGAACAAATATTTTTTTAGCCTGGATCTCGTAAGGTTAAATTTGCTCTCCCTAAGAGCTACATCACTAATGGACCAACACCCAAGAAGACTTTCGACATAGGTGATTTTCGAATATTATTTAGAGTGATAAAGTCATTCTCATTATTTCCAGGAGTCATCAATCTTGAAACTATCTTCATGAAGGAAGAGCGTGAGATGATTGTCTCCAGAAAGAGAAGAGCTCATCGTCACATCTTGGATGATGATCATGACGATTAAGGCTAGGAATAATATACTTTCTAAGAATTGCAATTTGCCATTATCGTATTCTGTTCGAATAAATGTTCAACATAAATAATGTATTATTTTCTGTTCCAAAATACATTCTTCAATTTTATAAAAGTTTGAAAAGCAAATAAATCACCTAATCTGAGCAGAAAAAAATCAGAAATTCGCTTATCATGAAATTATCATGATTGGCAGTGCTTGATAAAAAAAAGAAATATGTTTTGATCAATAGTAAGCAAGATCTGATCGTTTCTGTGTTGGTATAAATCAAAAAAGCATTTTGTGTAACTTGTGAAAAGTAAATAACTCTCTTTTCACGAAATTTCTTTGGAAAAACGCTTTAAGTTTTCTCTGTCAGCCAGCCGGTTCGTGTTAATCTCATTCAAACTCAACTTCCTCTCAATTTTCATTTAAACTCGCTGTAAATAAGAGACAGAGACACATCCATCCCCTGTAGCCATTCGAGCTCTAAACGATTGTGAACTGTCTGTCCTCTTAGATAGCTTGCTTTCGAACAACAACATGACCAATCAGATTATATTTGATACTTCTTATCAGATCGTTTTGATGAAATATCTTGAGAGTCAAAATATATATAAATGGCTTTTACATATGTTCCTCTGATATTCTTTTTCTATTTCAAGTCTGAATTATTTATTATACAATTTACAGAATGAAACTACTTCTACTTTTGGCCTTTGTTGGAACTTCGCTAGCCTTGTTGGACCAATCCATTGCTATAAAGGTGATAATCAAAAAATATTTGAAGAAGAGAGAAAATGAAACCGTTCTATGCGCTTTCTTTCAATTGAAGTGAAAAGAATGTCACGTGAAGTTCACGTAGATATTTGAATTCTGAATACAAGAAAACAATTGAATAATTTATTTTTGCTTTTGTTCAGGGAAAACTGATGTGCGGATCAAAGGCAGCTGAAAAGGTTCGCGTGAAACTATGGGAAGAAGACTCAGGTACCAACGCATTCGAACGATAATGCAAAGGTAAAACGAAGTTTAGGACCCGATCCAGATGACTTGCTTGATCAGGGATACACAGATGCTAAAGGTGAATTCAAGCTTTCCGGAGGAACTGCCGAAGCTACACCAATCGACCCCGTCTTCAAAGTTTATCACGATTGTGATGATGGAATTAAAGTTCTTGACAAGAGTAGCTCTTTTCCTTATGATAAAAATTGCAGCCCGGATCTCGTAAAGTGAAGTTTTCTCTACCAAAATCCTACATCACACGTGGAAAAACACCTCAGAAAGTTTTTGACATAGGTAGAGACAAAAAAAATTCCCTCCAATAAACTTTTTCCTAGGAGTTCTCAATTTGGAAACAGTCTTCCCTGCTGAAGAGCGTGAAATGCTTGTTTCCAAAAGAAGCGTTAGCCAGATGGCTGACGATTTAGCTGAAATTTTCTAGTTTATATTGAAAACATAATAGAATTGAAATGTCAAAATAAAGTATTATAAATATTCATAGAACTGTATGACCACAATCTATCGATGAAGATCACTTCGAGTTGAGAGCTTTTGGATGATTGAGATATGCTTTAATTTGGTCTTGATCACATACTTTCATTAGAACGTTTCTCATATGCAAGTTCGATAGAACCTTAAAAGAATCTGTTACAGATATACAGAAGAGTATCAAACCGAAATAGACTGATGGTATGGGAAATAATCTTCGGGTTGCTTTACCCAGTTTTTGATAGAACTTGCAGCAATTTTAATGTACTGCCCAATACCCATTATGTATAATTTAATATCGTGTTCATCGAGCTGCAGAAGATATAAGAATAAGAGTTTTTATCAAACATATACCTCATTGGCAGCTGTCGTTGACATCTCATTGGCTCGAGCCAAACTATATCCTTCGATTTGTGGTATCCCATCAGTAAGCAGAATAACAACTTTTGATTTATACTTGTCATTCTTAATAGGAGATGCAAAAATTCTTTCACCAGAACAGAAGGATTCAAACCTCAAACATCTCAAGAGCTCTCTTCAAGGCGGCAGGTGTGTTAGTTAATCCCATGTCGTGCTCAGAGGGAATTGAATTGATGAATTCTTCTTCGGTCCAAGGGTTTTTTAACCATAGTGAAGCAGATACTTGACTAGCGAACTTCACGAATCCAACATGACTATTCTTCGGAACAATACTAGCAGCATTTTTAATGAAATCAAGAACCTTAAGGGCAATATGATGTCGATGCGATACAGGTTGTTATACTTACATATTGCCATTCATCTCCGATAGATCCGGATGAATCAACTACAAAAATAACTGATAGGTCTTCTTGAACCTCTTTGCACGGATTCATTGGGATGCACACTTCTCCCTGAAACAAATTTTGCTTGCTATACTATAGAACTCTAAATATTTACATATTCATATTTTTCTTTTTCTGGGAAGTCTGTATCTCTGATATCAACGGCTCCTTCTTCGCAAATGCATTCGTTAGCAACTTTCACTGCGTTTTTTGGGCATTCATCAGCAGGAACAGCTGCGGTAGGAAGTGGTGGTCTCGTTTGTATTTTAGGCTTTGCTCCTAATTCTTTTTTACAAACAAATCGAGTGCTAGCACGATCACAAGGTACGTCATTCAAGACATCGGTTTGGTTATCGTAGACAAACACGCTCTTTGAATTAATAGCCAAATCGACCACTAACTGAAAAATCAAACATCCTTAAACTTCATAGCTCAAGCCATACTTTGACACATTTTTCATCGGAAGTTTCATCTCCATTAGGTTCCCCTGGGGCCCATAAAGCTACAGTTTTTTTGCCTTCTCCATCAGTCCAACTCCATTGTCCGCATATTGACTTGACCAAACCAACCCATGGCTGATCGTCAAACTCACAAACTTTTCCAGTTTTAGCCAATTCTACAAAATGATGAAGCAATTGAACAAAATCACGGATTACCCGATACGAAAGCAAGCTCTTCATCGGTGGTAATTGATGTCAAATGACCGCCTTCTTCTTGACACTTCTTTTCTGCTCCTGGCTGAGTAGTAGATTCTTCAGTGAAATGCTATCAAGATGTTTCAGTTTTAGCCATATGTTTTAAACAAATAACCTTATAACAAGCTCCAGTGCTTTTCAGCCCTTTCCAACCTTCACCTTCGCAGGCTAATTCTGTTCAGGAATGAAATCGTAAAACTCCAAAAAAAATGTTATTACCATCAACAAGCTTTTTCGCTGGAAGTGCTAACATCACTCGTAATTCAGCTTGAGCTTTCTTGCAAATGAAACGAGTTGTTGCACGTTCGCAAGGCACGTCATTCAATACATTAGTTCTTCCCTTATAATATCTAACTTTCTTTGCGTTGTCCATAGCTGTATCAGGAATATACTGCAAATAACTTGGTGATGAAATTATGTGAATTAAAATGTTCTTGCATCACTGCTGTGCATACTCATAATTCATTCGAGCGTGCCATTTCGTACCATCGCTCACATAGCTTCTTGATAAGAGGTTGAGAACTGACCTTAACACACCACTCGTTTCCACGATTATTATCAGGTTCCCCTGGCGCCCATTTGACTCCAGCTCCAGTTGAGCCATCAATCCATTGCCATTTCTTATCAATTTTTTTATATCCAACCCATGGCTGTCCATCGAAGGGAAATTGTCCACCAGTAGAAGATATACCTTTAAACTCTCCATTGTGAAAACGTTGAATCTGTACTTTTACTTAATATGAAATCTGACTCCTCTGGTGAGTTGATAGAAGCTAAATGACCACCATTGCTTATACAAATTTCTTCTGCTTCATCAAAAGTAACAGGTTTACCAAGGTAATGCTAGAAGGATTGTGGTGTATATGAACAGCGAAAATCTTACTCTGTAACAATGGCTGCCAAAGGAGTGCCAATTCTGCTCACAGCCTAAACCTGCCTCTACTTCTTGAAACAATGGAAGAATAAGAAGGATGGAAAGAGCAATCATGGGGAGCAGGAATCGCATTTGATCTATGTTTCGATTATTTTATAACAGTACGCTTAGAATAAAATCACGTTTTAATGCTTATTCACACAATAAAAACATGAGAAACTTTGGTCACAAAGATCTACGGTGTTCGTGTCCAGTCACAAGGCCCTAAAAATAATAAAAGCAATAAAATTATGAGTTTATCATCAACCATTCTATCCAACATTCTCATGGCTGCTTCCCATTCCAACTCTCCGACACCCCATTTCTGTGTATCAACCTTGCCGTCTTGTTGTCGGTTCACTCCGCCGCCTCCTCCAGATGCTGTAGAGAATGCTCGTTGAGCAGCTTCAGGAGTTGGTATAGTCAGTTCGGTCGATCCAGCAGACAATGTTTTGATCTAATTTGAATGGTTTGGTAACCGTAGAGTCAGATACCTGTGTATCACAAGCTAGGATAACGTGATATGCAAGAAGAAAAGCCGTCTCGATTGTAGGTGCACACACAACAAATCCATGATTCCGTAGGAGCATCACTTTTTTAGAGCCCATATCTTTCACAAGAGATTCTTTCTCAGCAGCATCTACTAATATGCCCTGCGGCAACACGGCTCATTTTTTTTCAAGCTTAGTGTTACCTGGTAATCATGATATGCAACTTCTCCAATTATCATTGCTTCTTGGCACAACGGTAGCAGTCCACATTTCATTGAAGAGACCGCAACAACACAAGGAACGTGCATATGAAGAATCACTCGAGCATCCTCTCTTCCTTCATGGAGAGCCGAATGCAGAATATAACCAGCCTTTGGAACTAATTTGAATTGGAGATCCAATATTTCTTACTTGATTGATTCCCAGTCCAGAAGTTCCCGAATCCAGAATGTTTCCTTCTAGGTCCACTTTCACCAAGTTGCTCGCTGTAACCTCCGAGTAGAAGAGACCAAATGGGTTTATCAGAATCTCATCTTCTTGACCAGGTAATCTGACCTATGGAAATACTCTATTTTCGATTCATTCAAAAAAATACCGTTATATGGTTATAGATGTTCTGACTCCAGTCGTGAAGATCTATTAAGCGATACAGAGAAGCAAGCTTATTTCTGATTTGTACTTCTTCGAGTGAATACTTTGATTCCACGGACAAATCAGCAATTGGAGAAACTGGTACTCTCCCATCTTTTAACTGAGGATAGAAAAATTGAAAATAACAAAAAGCTTACTAATATTTGGAACTTTGGAAGATGAGACAACACCTTGGGGGTACATTGTGCTGATCAATAAAAGGAAGGTTATAGATTACCCACATGATACACATCGATAAGAACCTGACAGTATCGACAGAGAAACAGCGGAAACAGAAGTTTTTAATATTTTTATACCTCATTCTGCAAGAGATCATAACACAACCAATTGTTCGATTTAACATGGTGAGGAGAAAACAAACAAAAAAATTATTATTACTCAACAATTTTCCAGGTGAACTAATAAAAAATGAAAATTGCCATCACAGATTATGCTATGAACATCATATCTTCAATAAAGCTTCAAAATCTGACCTTAGAAGTCTCAGTTATAGGGAAACTCATAAGACTTGGGCCAATCTAGTTCGATTGTTAAAATGCCGCTAGACGAGCATTCCGGTTGTCAGTACAGCCGAGAGAATAGAAGAATTTATGAATTTTGCGAAACTTAACATATAGCGTAAAAAGAAGTGCTAGGTTACTTGTAAAGATTGACATAATCTGCATTAACAACATATAAGAGTCGTTAGTATACCAGGCTAATAACCCCTGTGTAATTAACTGGGCTTGTTCGGCAAAAATATTACTGGAAATAGGTATCCTAACTTGGATATGTGTTTTTGAATGACAAGACGGTAAATATCGAAATCACCATCATAATTACCCTGAAAAATCTAATCTTTAAAAGTGCTAGAGAAGCAAAAATTACCGCCAAAGCATCACATCCATCATTTTTCTGCATAGATATTACGGCTTGATTTACTGTTGCTGAAGTTACAGTTCTTCTCTGAAGTTGATAGAATAGATAAATGTTGAGTAGATACAAACCTGGAAGTATTTCCAAAGATCTGACAACAACAAAAATCCTTCATAGTTCGAAACATGAGGCAAAATATCCAACAGCACTTCGAACCTCTGAGGAATCAAGTCAGATTGTCGAAGTATGAGTATCAGAGAATCTAATTGATCGAGATCAGACGCATTAGGAGCACTATTTTTATATACAGCATTCTCCAATCGGTTCTGTACGGTATTTTAAGGTGGGAACAAAAAATATAATTAAATCTTACAATTATAGAGGCCAGAATAGCCTTCAAAATAGGCAGACAGTACCATAAGCATGGTTTCACTTCGGATACTATACTTAAAAGCCCTCGGCATACAGAGCTACCATTGTATTTTTGCAAAATTTCAAGATATCTGAAAAAGTAAACTTTTGTTAAAAGAGTAACAAGAATTATCACCTGGCAATCGTTTCCTTTTCTAGCTCCCAATCTCCAAATAGCATCTCGGCCGAAAGAGAATCCTGACAGAATAACTCTGTCAACAAGTTGGCCTACAAAACAGGGATGAGTATGTTTAAAGTAGTCAGGAACATTACCAAAACTTTACAATTATTAATGCTCATTGGAAGATTTTCCCCAATGCAGAAATTCCTAATACTATCTATGAACACCTCTCGCCGAAAATATTGATCGACCTAGAAAACAATTCTGATGTGATTGAAAAACTGTAAGAAAATTTACAGAAGCATTGGAAACTGGGTGAAGTTTTCGAGCTCCTCTACCAATAATTCCAGAATGGGCTAATTGGACAACTTTCTTATGAACAGACATATTTTCAATTGCTTTCAAGAAGGAATAGTCGTCCTGAAATATTATCAAACTGAGCAATTGCGAATACAACACTCACGTCTATGAGGTCCAAATCTTTCTCAACAGAAGGCTCAGCCCAAGGATTCAAGTTTACATCTTCACCAAAAATGATTTTCGATTCTTGTAAGCATCCGATGGCATAAGATTGTACAAACAAGATGTAAAAACTATCCATTAATGCATTGCAATAATTACTGTAAAAGTCAAGAATAGCAGCAGATAGTCGACGGAACGTTTTGAGGTCTTCGGAATGTTCTAAAACCTTCAGATTGTTAGGTGAACCAAAAAAGTAAAAAACTTGATGTAGTGTCGCCTAAGGTGTATTTCAGAAGAGCAGCGAGTTGAATAGCAGTCTTATATGCATATCTTCCAGTAAAAAGTATGGATCGAATCTGAAAACACTCCTGATTTAGAGGAAAGGTCGACCTACTACCTGTCCCTGCTTGTTTTTCTGAGAAGCTTTAGAAGGGGATAACGATGTGAGAAGCTTTATGAGAGGTTGAAGAATTGCTCTTATCTTATCTTGGCAGTTTCTGGCTTTCTAAGAATGAAAAAATTAGATCGAAACTCAGTTGAACTAACATTTTCTTGTATAAATTCGAGGACATTGGACAACAGACTGGAGAGCAGCTCCCCCAGGTAGAAGCCCGGATTGAATCTGAGTAAGAAAAATAGAAAATTGAACAATTAGCTTGTTTTACCCGAAATGTTTGTGAGGACTATTTTCTTCGGAAGTCACCTCCCAACTTAAGATAACTTGGAGATTTGCGACAATGAAGATGTCAATATCTTCCACTAAATTACGTAACTTGAGCAGATATGCGTTTATGGACTTACGATTACGACCCGATAGAAAAGAGCTTCTAAGAGCAAACAGGTTTCGATAAACGACTTGCATGATATCAGGGAAGAATGGACAAATTGTATAAAGAAATGCAGGAATTATAGACAACTTAAAGTACAGAAACCTTAGAAACCATTGAGAAAAACTGTTACCTTAGTCTTGTCCTCACAAACGAATAAAATCCTAGCTACTATCTCAGCTCCTTTAAGCTCGCCTAACTTCAAGGTCAGAGAATGAAGATAACGTAAGAGAATTGGTGTTCTTAAAAATACGTTTTGATAGGATCACACACAGAACACTTACGCATTCAATCTATTTACAGCAATATCAATTACAAACTGTAACTCATCGTCGAAAGCGAAAGCTCTCAGAGGTGGATCGTCAAAGGTAGCAGAAACTTCATTGCTATGAGCAATATTTAATATAGAGTTTATGATTGTTTCAACAGCTATGAACGCAGCATTCTTGATGATAATAACTACTTCACTCGGAAAGTCTTTCAACCCTGAGACGAAATGATGGAATATGAAATGAAAAAACTCGGAACCTTGGAAGACTTTATCCTCGAAAGCTATGTACATCATAACTTTAAAAACTATTCCGAGAGAGACTGAATCGATCGCCGATAACATTTGTCCTGAGAATTCACTGTAGGAAAGAGTTGGAAGAACTAATTTCTTATCAACAGAGATGACTTGCTGTATGCCACGAATGAAATTCATAGGATTTGCTTAAAAGTTCATGAGATATCAGGAGTACAGTAAGAACAAACCAAGATGTAAGTATTGGCTGACTAGTATACGAAGTGTTTCTACGGAGCAAGTAACCAGCTTGAAAAAATAAACCATGTTCAAGTTTCTGGGCTCAGTTTCTTCAGAGTCCAGGCTCTCCTGAAACTATGTATTTCTGAGAGTTTCATAAGCATTTCACACCTGAATCATTCGTGAAACTAAAACTTTCAAGTCAGGATTTCCTTTGTGTGAAATGAAGTTGAAAACTTCAGACAAGAAAGAGAATTTTCTATTGTACTCATCCAAAATAGAGCTCAGAACGGCAGGATGCACCTAAAACATGGATAAGCTTGCGATAATGTAACTATAGAAACCTGTTCCTTGTCTTTCTTTTTAATGAGATCAACGTAATCGTGAAACTCTCGTGAGCCTACTACAAACAAATGACTAACAATAGCATCAGGATATGATAAACTGTAACAATTTATTGGTTAAAAGGAATAGTAACTCTTTCAACTCACACAATGTGTTGCCATATCCAATTGAAATCCGACCCATGCTTGGAAGCATCAAACAAGGCAGTCATACACTTGTTTGGACTTTTTTCCAATCTATAACAATATGGTGAGTTGCATAAGCCGGAAGAACTGATTTACAGTGTATTAACCACTTTGTTCAACAAATGAATAAGCTCTTTGATTGAAGGAACAGTTATGAACAAATCGAATAACTGTTTTGGAGATCTTGAGTTATCCGCGATTAAACGACCTTTGTTTTGCTCACTTAACTCGCTACCAGTAGTGCAACACCACTGAAGGAAGAAATTAAAGAAATATAAATGAAGTATATCCTACTCGTAATATTTCATAAGTGAGATCAGTATTACACGTGGGGACGATTTCGTTCAAGAACTTAAGAAGAGAAAGGGCTGCATTTTCGACGGAAGAAAAATCGGTGGCTGTATAGATGATATATAAAATGAACACTGAGAAAACAAACCTAATTGTGAATTTTCTTTACCATTGAAATAGAGGTGGGTATTTTCATGAATCAAGAGGCTTATGAAGCCCATGGATGCTGTGCTATAGATAGTTTACATAACAAAATTACCAAACGAAAATCAAACCGAGCAGTAGGTACTGTATTCCAAACATTTAAACAAGGTTCTGTTAATTCAGGAGAAGGTACCCCGGTCCAAATAGTCCTGTTTCTATATATGCTCGGGAGATCCCCGTTAGCTACTTTCCAAAACTTTTCCTGCGCTGTACGGACTTCTTCATATTTCTAGGAAAACGGTTATTACGAATAAGATAAAGCCCTACTTACCTTCTCCCAATCGACAGATTCATTGAACATATCAGTTGAGTCTATGGTGACTAAAGATTCATCGAAAATTTCTCCGACATCTGTTTCACCTTCTTCGTCAATTATCTCTCCAACCTCCAGAAGCTTAAGAATACAGTTTCATGAAGTCGAAAACACAACGAACCTCGCCAGACTCAGCAGAACGTGGAGAGAATTCTACACCTCCATCCATATTTCTCCTATTCCTAAGTTGTATATGCCTGTAAATGTATAGAAGCTTTCTATTATGCTTTAACTCCGATTTTGAATAAACGGACGTGAACGGAAAAATGTTGTGTGTAAATAATGAGCCATAAAATATCAAATTTTCGCTTACGCGCCGCCATTGTTGAAGCTTTTAATTTTTTTTAAAACTAAAATAACTAATTCAGTAGCAAACTCGGGAATGCTTCATGTTTTTATCGACTTGCTCACATTCCCGAACTTATGTGCGGGAATATTTCTTTTGATATCAGCAGCAATAGGAGGTATTGGTTTGTAAGTGCATTTTAGCTTGATGCATGTCTGAATGACTGAATTTAGCCTATCATTCATGACTCCATGGATATCTCGTAAACGTTCAGAATTGCTAGAAGACGAACATGCTTATGGAACTAAAGAAGTGTTAGTTTGAATGCTTCTATTCATCTTTCATTATATTATTGCCATAGGATTCCAACAATGCTTAAGGCGAATGTAGAAGACAGACCTCGGTTCACTGAACCTTCTCTTTATCTTTCTATCGTCGTTCCCGCTATGAATGAAGAAGTATGATTCTTTAATTTTTTTATCATTTTGTAGTACTCTTTCAGGAAAGATTACCCGGAATGCTGGACGAATGCCTTGAATATTGTGAATCAAGAAAAGTACAAGACAATGATTTCACTTATGAGGTTGGTTGCCAACGTAACATAATTAGGAACATATCATAATCAGGTTGTTGTTGTGGACGATGGTAGCAGAGATAAAACGGCTCTTATTGCAAGTGACTATGGCAAGCGTTTTGGAACGGTAAAAGCAATAAAACTTCCTCAAAATCGCGGCAAAGGTATAATTTAATCGGTTTTCAATAATTCATTTCCATGTTCAGGAGGGGCAGTTCGTGTAGGAGTGCTTCACAGTGCCGGGAAATTGGTATTGTTCGCTGATGCCGATGGCGCAACTAAGTTCTCAGATATTGAAAAATTAGAGCACGAAATGACTCGTAGTTCTGGAGGATCAGTTGATCCTACATTCCCGGGTATCGTTGTAGGATCGCGGTAATTCAAAATCACTATTTTTCTTAATTTCTTTGAATGTTCAGAGCACATTTGGAAGAAGAAGCGAGTGCCACTCGATCCGTATTCAGAACCCTTCTTATGCATGGTTTCCACGTGCTTGTTTATGCCTTTACTGTTCGTACCATTAGGGACACTCAATGTGGTTTCAAGTTATTTACCAGAGCTGCTGCAGCTAGAGTAAGATTCACGAAATCGCCTAATGAAATTCTCGATTGTTCCAGCTGTTCCCTGTTTTGCATGTTGAAAGATGGGCATTTGATGTTGAATTACTGTATCTTGCCGAGAAGTGGAAGATGTCCATTAAAGAGGTACCTGTGTATATCATACTTCAATTCTAATATTCTTTCAAGGTTTCTGTTGTCTGGGAAGAGAAAGAAGGATCTAAAATTGTACCGGTTTGGTCTTGGCTGCAAATGGGAAGAGATTTACTTTTGATTTGGTTCCGTTATACTGTTGGTATTTGGACCGACAACGAACACTTTTAGGGTAAAGTTTCATGGGTTCTAGTCTTATCAAGTTTCAGCTTTATCATTTACATTCTTGGGTTCTCTAATTCATTTACCTATAATACTTACATTTCTTTGTTAATAGTTAAATTGTGTGACTCGAAGTTGGAACACATTCCAGTTTTATTGTTGTTTTGTTGGGTTTTACTGAAGAACTATTGTTTATAAATTGTGTTTATGTTGTCTCCATATCGGTAGTAACCGAGCTCACTTATCTCATAACGGAATTTTACTTTGCATCTTCAAATGTAAATGTCTCAATTTAGGATGACTCGTAGTCGAAGCGCCGCGAAGCATGATTCTTCCGACGATGAGCTCCGCATGGACGAAGAGAGAGTTCTGAACGTATGCTCTCTTTTTTACCTGAGAAGTACAATTCTATTAAGACTTATGACGCTGCTTCTGATTATGCTTCTTCTTCTGGTGCTTTTGTTTTGTCGGAATTTCTAGATAATATTAAGGTTTGGAAAGTAAGCGTTTGTTTGATGAGTATTTTTTTCAAGATTGAGATTATCAATGAAAAGAGAGACGGGATGGATCTCGAGTTTGATCTAATGAGAGTGGAAGCCCCAATTGCTAATGCTTTACGTCGTATTTTAATTGCCGAGGTATATTAGGATCGTACAGCTCTATAAATGATCAAGTTCTAGGTTCCTACTATGGCTTTTGAGAAAATATATTTATATCAGAATACTAGTGTGATACAGGTATTATACGTAGATACCTACTTCATATAAATTATCTTTTAGGATGAAGTTCTTTGTCATAGAATTGGCTTACTACCTCTAAAAATTGATCCCAGACTTTTTGAAATGCCTCTTGAAAAGGTAAGACTCTTCAATATCACAGTAAACGCATGAGTTGCGTTTAGGTTATCGGAATAAACGAGAAAGGTGTAGATTGTGACGAAGAGCCAGAACCAGATCCGTCAAAAAACCTAGTTTTCAAGTTCCACGTTCTCTGCAAACGCAACAAAAATGCTCCTAGTACTGCTACTGAGCCAGTGCAGCTATATCATAGCAGTTCCGCTTACTCAAAATCGTTCGAGTGGAAACCATGTGGAGAGCAAGCTAGTTTATTTGAAAGTGATCCACCAAGAATGGTTCATGATAATATCCTCGTAGCCAAGCTACGTCCAGGACAGGAAATTGAAGCTAGTTGCCATGTTGTTAAAGGAATAGGAAGAGATCACGCCAAGTTCAGCCCCGTGGCTACCGCGAGCTATAGGTAATAAATCTGTTATCTTTTCTTATAGGCGCTATGTCTTATCTCTTATTGAAAAGAAAAATAAGACATAGCGCCCTATGAGTTATCTTAGCCTCATTATCTTCATTTTTATAGATTGCTACCCACAATTCGATTTTTGAAAGACTTCGAGGATAAAGATGCTGAGAGAGTCAGAGAGTCTTTTGCTGCAGGAGTAGTCGAAATTGTTAACAAAGGAGGTATCATGGATGATTCATCTTACCATGTAAATCTGAACATTCTAGGAAAAAATGTCGCTGTCGTAAAAGATGCACGAAGCGATACTTGTAGTCGCAACATTTTCCGACATGAAGATCTGGCTCCTCATGTGATCTTAGGTAGAAAGAAGAATCATTTCATCTGTAAGACAATACTAAACAACAGTTTACGAGATTTTTTTTAGTTAGCGTTGAGTCTACTGGCGCATTGAAATCCCATGAGTTGGTTACGGAAGCTTGCAAGGTATTCGAATAACACAAGCTCTAGTATTTTTTCTCTATTTTTAGGTAATGGAAAACAAATGCCGTTCGTTGAAGGAAGAGGTCATGAAAGCCTTGAAACTGACCTGAAAAATTCTTTGTTGTTATTGTTGAAGCTTTTGTTTTAGTTTTGTGTTGTTATCCATTGAATCGTTGTTAATTTCTTGTTCTCTACGCTAAGAAAATTTTGCAAAGAGGCCTCATTGATGATACATTAGGTTAACACCTATTCTTTATCTTAAATTTCATTATTTCATATTATTAATCATCTGTGCATAGCAGAAAGTCTAAGGTTTTGGGGTTTTCTTGAAAACCGCAAAATTAACAAGGATGGGGTTCCCAATGATACAAGTAGTTATGATAGCAGCTCGTCAGGTATCATACAATCTGAGCTCTCTGTGATAATGATTTTCTCAGATATCTAAACCCATCGCTGACGCTGTTCTTAAATATGGAAAGAGTCATCCAACCTTCAGAAACAAAATTTTGATACCAATCGGTAGGGGAATCGCCCGATTCACAACCAGATTGCGAATGAAAAATTTGGGATTGGGAGCCCCCCTAGCCCCTGTTCAAATATCGGAAGCTGCGGCTCTAGAACAAGTTTGAAAGTATACTCGACTGTTATTCTCAAAAGTAATATTAAGGCTTCTGATTTTGTACAGCAAACTGTTCTTTTCACGTATTCATTAGGAGTTTTTAGTGCTTTTTATTTCTATCAAAACTGGAACGTTCCGGAAACACTTAAAATTGATGAGTTTCATAAACTCAAGAAAGAACATTCTGAAGCAATAGAAGAGCTTAATACT